TTATCGATGAGCGTTTGACACCTAAGCAAAATTATAACTCATCACATCATATTGATCAGATGATAATATGTGTTAAAAATTAAAATTAATAAAGAAAAAGTAAAATTAAAAATAGAAAACGAATAAAATAATTATCAACCAACTAACCAAATAGTAAAAAGGTAAATTTCTATAGTCCGAAACAGTTAGGGAAAAAAACTATAATAGTTTAAACAAATTGTAAAAATAAAATTAAGAAAGAAAATAGAGAGCCTATAAACAATAAAAAAAAACAATAAAGTAGAGAGAAAGTATAAAATTTAATATAAAAAATTATGAATAATAAAACAAAAAAAATTTATAAACTGAAAAACAAAAAATTAGAAAGAATATGAAATCTCAAAGTTCAAGTTTATATGCACAAATATACCAAAGAAAAAAAATCTATAAACATTTTTATTTTGTTAACATAGTTATAGAATATCACAAAAAAAAATAAAAGTCTTCTACCTATGACGGTATTGATACTTTTCAATGTTAGAAAATTAAATATAAAACAAAAATTTATACATGTTATAAAATTTATCTAATAATAATATATTTACTGTTAAGATCCAAAAGTATCTCTATAAAAATTAAATTGATGACATTAATGGCATTTATCAATCATAGATTTATATATAATGCTTGATAAAACTATTTCTAAAATATTTTATAGGTTTTATAAGATTATACATATAAATTTATTGTTTTATGATTTAACTCTATAATATTTTAATTGTTATAATATTTTGTCATATAGTTAATATTAATTCATAACGTGTAAGAAAATTGTTTTAGGTTTTTAAGAGTATGATTTGAATTTTATTTATATATATTTTGATCTTCATAATGAATTAGGACGTGAAAATTAAGATATAAATTAAAACTTAATGGTTTAAGATCGATGTTTAAATATTTTAAACTATTTTTATAATTTAACGGTTATTAGTTAAAACTTAAATTTTCATATTAATAATTTTTATTGTTATTACTCGCGTACCAACGTGGCTTCTAATCTAGTTTTTACATAAAATAGCAATATCAATTAATTTAAAACATACCCAAATCATAATAAGATTTATTGTACCATAAACATATATCAATTCTATTATTCTAACCATTATTAGTATTTTGCATGTAATTCCCTTCAAATACTTTTTACCAAATATTTATAAGCATGAGGTATGTACAAGGAGATGATGTATTTACCCCAAACAAAACACACGTGAAATGTGACAAAGAAACAAGGGTTGAGCTAAGTTAACACGTGTAGACCGGCTGCAAAACGATTACTTAGCTGTTACGGCACAACCTCGTGTAAGAAAAACAGAAACTCGAAGAGATTGACACGTTGTTATTATTTGGTTAGTTGCTACTGGTTACTGATTTAACTTTTTGGTGGTTAGCCCAAATGAGTGGTCCAATCATAAAATAAGCGGGTAAGTCGTTGTTTCTGTTGTGTGAAGTAAAAAAACAGAGAGATATTAAATTATGTGAACGATCCCAAACTTCCCTATTCTATAGCTTCAAACCCTAATTTCCTATTTTAGCGGTCACCCAATCGTAACCCTATTTCTTCTCTCTCTCCTTTCACCATTTTTCTTCATCTCTATGCTCTGTTTTTTTTGCCATTTTCTCTTTCTCTCCCTACCTTTCTTCCTCGTAAAGAAAGTTCTTTATTATATGTAAAGTTTTTTTTCTAATAAAAAAATCTTTTTTCTTTCTCTTTTTGGTTCAGCATCCGAGTTCAAGGAAAGTTTTTGTATTAACTCAAATTAGGTGAGTTTTCTCTTCACTATTTCAGGTTATTAATTGTGTATATTCTTTTGATTCCTAATTTCAATATTTTTTTTTTCCTAAAATTGGTAAATAGTCATTTTCATTGACGAAAGTATGAATCTTTGAAGTGGGTTTGTCTTCTGATCTTTGTTCATATGAGTTTCTCGATTTGCACAAGGTTGTTCTGTAATTTGCATTTGAATCCTCAATAATCAGTGTAAGATGGGTCGAGTGAAGCTAAAGATAAAGAAACTAGAGAATTTTAATGCACGTCAAGCTACGTATGCAAAAAGAAAACATGGGATCTTGAAAAAGGCTAAGGAGTTATCGGTTTTATGCGACATAGATGTTGTGCTACTCATGTTCTCTCCCACGGGAAAGCCTTCTCTGTGCACCGGAAAACACAGGTTTGTACCAAAGGCTGTTTAAAACATGGTTCATGTTCTGTTTTTTGGAGTTTGTTTGATGTTCTGTTTTGGGGGTCTGTTTTAAGTATTGGAGAAGTCATAGCTAAGTTTGCTCAACTTACTCCTCAAGAAAGGTCAAAGAGGTTACTTCCCTTGACTCTATATATCAAAACATTTTCAAAATCTTTCTCTGCGTAGATGTGTAACTCTTTGTTTGTTTGTGTTTTGTCTACGTTTGAACAGGAAGTTGGAAAATCTTGAAGTAAGTAGTGTTGCTTGGCTCTGTTTAGTTCTCTTCTCCTCTCTTGAAACTACAATTAATACTTATTTTTTCTCACAATATCTCAGGCATTGAAGAAAACATTTATGAAGCTTGACCACGATGTAAATATTACACAGTTTCTAGACAGAAGGTGTGTATTATTATTTCATATATCAAGAACCTGAGCTTTTTTGTGAACTCTGTCTCTGTTTGTTTTTGTTTAGTGTTGGTGAGTATTACTAATGCGACTCTTTTTATGTTATCTTTTCAGTAAACCAACAGTTGAGGTATG